GGATTCTACTTCTGGACTGACGGTTTCGACCTTTCAATTAGTGCTCTTCCTATCGGATTCTGCCTTCCTCATTTATTCCACAATCATACCTACCTACGTCCGTGATCCTTTGGACATATCAGTCAACACGATCCCTTTGGATGTTGTCCCACTTACTGATTCACTACCTAGATAGGTACTCATGTTCATTGTAATAGGTATCCATCCGGGCTAGAGTTCCAGCTTAGCAAAATCACCTGAAGAATTTATAACTTGTCACCGCCATACATCAGTCTCCTGACCGTGTGTTGCCTAGAGATATGTAGACTCACGAACGTCAATGCTAAGCCCTACATCAAACTCGTCAACCAGCTTGACTCAGCGACAAAAGTGGCGGTGATACGAACGTTCGCGAAGACAACATACCAAAATACTCGTAGTTAGGACGTGCGTAATGAGAGGTTTTCGTTCCTTAACCGTGTTCAATTACCAACTCATAGTGACCTTGCCTTTTTGGGCGACTCTGTAACGAGTTATGTGGGAGTTGGTCGCAATATACTTCCAAGTTCCATCATCTGAATGGCCAACATGTCTAATATCGTGCACAACCCTCTTCCACAAGGCGCCACGGCGCATCTACTTCCAGATATTCTGTTCTGGAAGTTTAGGACCTGCTACAGACAGTAGCTTAAAGTCTGAAAGTTAGAATATGCCTAGAGGACACCGATTGAGAATGTGCCAACTTGCGGGGGCAGACGATGGGAGGTAATAGTCCTCGAGTATAAATAATATTACTTCGATTCACAGTAACTGATAAAACGTAAATTGTTGTAGTTATCAATCTATCTTTAATAACAAGTAGTACGTTTCAACGCAGTTGGCGATGGATTGAAGGAAAATAAGAGGGAAATCGTAATACTTCTCGAGGTTGTTGCTAGCAACTCAGGCTCATAACGTATCAGTAGGTATTAGGTAGTAGTAGGTATACGTACGTAGGTATACCTAGAGTGTTGGCGCAGTGTCCAATTCATATCTGTGCAGTAATCGGGCCGTGTCGGACTGTCAGATTCTTCTGCCCGCTGGACTACCTACTCACACTAATAAGTACTTCATACACTACCACTGCTACCTAGTCAGATGCACACCTACAATACCTACCTTCTACTTCAAAACTGCCTTACATTTGGCAGGAAAAGTACCTCTCTTATTATTCCACCAGACTGTGCAAATGGAGTACCTAAAAAAGTATGGAGCTGGTGGCGTGTGATTCTACTTCCTTCGTGAACTTCATCTTGTGGGTACCTATAGGCCAAAGCAGTACGTACGTATTCCGTACCTAGGGAGTAAGCTCTGGCTCTGTAATCCGGCAAGAAAAGTGCCAGTCCGCTTCGGCCTGACCACTGCGCAAATAATATTGGACACTGCGCGAATATCAACGCTCGTAATTGGTAGTATAACAGGCAGATGTAAAGATGAGATCATACCTAATAGGTACCTAACCTAACAACTCACAACATGAAGTGAAGGCTCCGATTTTGGGAGGAACTGGCTGCCGGCTGCGTACGGAATATACGCTTGTCTGTGTGGTATGAAATGAAGGAAATGATTCGATCTGATTGATATTTTAAGTGGAGACCTTTTCAGACGGTTGATGTCCCTAAAGCGATTATTAATATTCCGTCATGAGCGTTCGTAATTCCCAACAATATTGTCCACTATTAATCTTATTTCCTGTTTGTATAGTCCGTAGGTAACTCGTGACCTGCCATCCAGGGCAATCTTTTGCTATGGCAGACTTACCACAATTTGGTAGTAGTGCCGACGGGACACATCAGACGGCGAATGGACCCGATTACAGGCCCCAGCCAGCCCATCTTCGGAGCTGTGTTCTGTGTCGGCAGCGCAAGGTCAAATGCGACCGCCGACAGCCGTGCTCCAACTGCGTACGGGCCAGGGCTGAATGCGTCCATCCACCCGGAGCCGGTAGGGCTGCCAAGCGCCCCCGACAAGTAGTAGACGCCAGAATATTAGATCGCCTCGCCCAATTGGAGACAACAATAAACCATCTACAACAGCAAGCCAGAAGACGGGACCTGGATTCTCATCCGTCGCCATCCGGCTCCCTACCGCAACATGCGGCATCCGAGGCCCCACCACCCCGCGATTCCCAGGGCTTCTTGGTTGATGATACTGGTGAAGGCATAACACAGCTCCCGGAATTGGGCCGTCTTTTTGTCGAAGAGTCTCAGAGTCGCTATGTTAGTCACATAATGTGGGCAGATTTGACCGAATCGGTTAGTATCCACACCTCTAAACAGCGTATCCAACTTCCTAGCTGATTTCATGAAGATTGAACAACTGCGTGGAATGTTTCTTGACACCGACTCCAGAGAAGAGTCAAGTCAGCTGGATGATAGCCCTCCGTTGGATGAAGCCGAGTCTCCTCTTCCAGGGCCTTCAGGATCAAATGCGGCCATCTTCGGATATCGGTCCGTCGCTCATTCTCTGCGGGAATTCCATCCCCCAGTCGACTTGTCCATGAAACTCTTTCAAGTTTTCAATGATAATGTTTTACCAATAGTTCATGCGTTTCATAGGCCGAGCCTGACGCGTCTGTTCTGGGAGTCCGTCTTGAAACCTGACGCCCTCGATAAAGAGACGGAGGCCCTACTGTTCTCCATCTACTTCTCGTCCATCATTAGCTTAGACGCGACGCAGTGTAACGACGTCATAGGAACACCACGATCTATTTTACTCGAACGGTACAAGTTCGCCGTGGAGCAAGCACTGGCACGAGCTTGCTTACTCAATACCCAGAGCGTGTTACTCCTGCAGGCAGCGCTGTTATATGTGTCGGTATTGCGGGCAGACGATGGGACGCGCACAGTATGGTCACTAATAGCACTGGTCACCCACGTAGCACGCTCGATGGGCATACATCGAGATGGGTCGGCGTTCAACCTTTCGCCTTTTGAGACAGAGATGCGTCGACGCATATGGCATCACCTCGATATCCTTGATTATCGCGCTACGGAGTATCACGGTTATGAGGTTTTCTTGCACGAAGAGTCTGTTTTTGACACCCGTTGGCCACTAAACGTGAATGACTCCGATCTTTCACCCGACATGTCCGAACTGCCGCCCGATAGCGACGGAGCTACCGAGATGACATTCACCCAGATTCGATGTCGGGCAATGGCACTGAGCAAGGAGATGATGCGGTGAGTGGCTTCGAACCTTGTTTTCCTTGTCATGTATTTTCAAATTCTTCGATGAATGGCCCCCTCGAGTTCGTGCTAGTCTCCTTTGCTGGTCTTGGTTGCTTATCGTTTCATATGACCGCATCATGCTAATTACCTCCTAGAAAGAGACGTTCTCCTTTCCAGACTCGTATCCAAATTCTTGATGAGTACAACAGGACCATGGATAAATACATAGAACGGTGTAACCCATCCCAACCGTTACAATATTTGGCAACGCAGATTTATTACGTATCCGCGGCACGAATACGACTAGCAACATACTATTCTGAGCTAGTAGCCCGGAAACGAAAGGGAGATGCCGACGTGTTTAATACAATTAATCCTGACGCGAAGACCAAGGTGCCCGATCATAGTAGTATTCAATACGAACCAGATAACCAAACCTTACGGGAGCAACTTTTCGAAACTTCGCTTGCCATAGTCAGAAGGACCAATTCCATGATGCACGAGCCACGATTCGTCCATTGGGCTTGGGTATCAACCAGCTATGTCCAGTGGCAAATTTTGGCTCTCATCTTGTGGGAGATATGTATTCGTCCGCCTTCACCACAGTGTGACGAAGCGTGGAAACATACAACAGAAATCTATGAAAAGTGGTTGTCTGTCAAATTCCGAAACAGTTTCGAACGTGGGAACGATTTCATCAAGCCTATGAACCGACTCCTGGCAAGGGCTCAACGTGTCCGAGACGCACAGCAGCGCGAACGATCACAGGCCCAAGCGCAAAGGGGTTTACAAAGGCCGGACGCCAACAATATACTGATTCCGGTGCATCAAATACCATACGAGACGGTGGAGAGCATTGGCATCCATTACCATGACGACGCTGACACTTCAGTCGTGAGTAAAGATTACCAGTCAGACACGCCAGACTCCATGGCCGGATTTACGGCGACTTTTATAGAGAATCCCCACAACGGCCCGCCTGTTGACGGTATCAGCGATTTCAACTATATGCTACAGATGCTACCGGACGAATTACAGAACGAATGGTTAGACTCAATGGCGCCGAGAGGCTATTCTACGTCTAACATGCCTCCCTACTTGTCTTAACGTTTATTTTTCAATCCCCGTGATTTATATGTTTCAACGGGTTTTTTCCATTTCGAAAATCGCAACGCCTCCACGCTGAAAGCAGACATCACAAGGTAGGAACGCCATGAATCCCTTGCCCCTTATACACCACTATAGCACCATGCTAATATTCTCGAGGGCAGATACAAGTTACTGAATATTGATGGTCTAATTATTGTGTGGTTCAAGATTCCGAATGGAAATGGATTTGTACAAAATGTATGTACTTACATACCTATTTGAAAAGTTTCAGTCCCCAGATATATACATAGAATATAATATTGAGCGATACCAAGAATATGCGGGTAATGATCTGCTGTGTATGTCCACTCCATAATGATACCATACCCAGTCTCACTTGCTTTGAGAGAAACCGCCTTTGAACAAGTCAAGTCTGCATAGGCATGTCAACCCACCCCTAAATAAACCAACTTCAACACGAGCTATCACAACACCCAACACAAATCCTCACGTCCCAAGCCCATCGCTCCCACACAGCAAATGAAGTCACGCTCCAGCCAGATCACGTGCACCCCAGTCGTGCCTCCCCAACAAGACAAGACAAGACAAGACAAACCGGGTGCCAGCCTACGAAAAACCGAGCGCCTTCCCACAAAAACTTCACACAGCCAGCCAGCACAAATAGCAAAACAGCAAGGGACCCCCTCCAATAACAGAGAAGGAACCGAATTGGTGTAGGGGTTAACATTCAGGATTCTCATTAGAAGTTATCTTGAGCCAGGAGTTCGAGTCTCCTATTCGGTGAACCCGGTTTTTTTTTTTCGTGATGGTTTTCTTTTGGTAGGGGAGGTTGTATAGATAGATCTAAGCTACCCCCCCGTTTTTTTTCCATGGTCTTGTTCGATCCATTTCGATTCCCCCCCTCCTTTTTTTTTTTCATCTACGGACTTTGTCGTTCTTTGTTTGCTCTGCTCTGCAGACCCTGCACTCCTATCGTGATGTGTGCGAGCACAGACGATCGTGAGGAGGTAGTGGAGCTGTGAAAGGGCACGCTACATAGATACATATCCAGGCATCGAGGGCTTGTTTTCTTTATTATGACCAAGACCTTATTTTTCTGCGTACCTAGGGGAATCAGACACTTAGCTCACTGCTCAGCACATCTTCTGTCCGTCCCAGGGCTCATGGACCGGAAACGGAACTGCACGCACCCACCATGCCTTCCGCTATCCGAGCATACAAACGAAGACGAACAAACACAGGCCTGTCTCATGAAGCGGTATCGTTTCGATTCATCGCAAATAGGACTTGATAATCACAGATGCCGAAGTCATGATTGATAAGCTGAAATTACTATGCCCAGCCTGAACAGGGAATTGGGGGGGATGAAGAGTTCGACTCGCAGAGTCTGTTCACTCAACCATCTCATTATAATAATAACACGGAGTGACATCCAAGTTGATATAACTAAATATACATTCATTGCCAGGACCTGGCTAGTGCAGGATCCTGGTCTGGTGATACCGGCGAGATGCCGAAGCCTTGCATATCCTGGTGAGGCATATAACCACCGTACTCCTGAATTAAAAAATTCCAGTCCATTTCGCCGCCAAAATTTACATCGGGAAACACCATGGAGAACTGTCTGTTCACATCTTCCGGTTGCATGCTGCCAAACATGTCTGCGGGTTGGTACATTGTAGTAGTAGTGGTAGTAGGAACGGCATTCGCTATGGATGTCGGTGCCGGTTGAGATGCGGAGGTAAAGGACGCTGGCTCATATGCAGCGCTGACCTCTGGAGCCTTTGGTGAGGGCGTTGATAACGTTGTTTTTTCTGTGGCCTTTCTGGGCTTTTGAGAGTCAAACTGTCTCATCAAGGAGATCAGCTTTGGCGGAGCGAGAGTTCTGCCGTTTGCGGCCTCAGCGGCCTCCCTGGCATCCCACGCCTTGACGAAAAGCGTGCTGAAAGCTAGATGTAGTGGGGTCTGTGTTATGGTAATCATTTTTCTCCTTTCCGCGTGCCCAAAAATGGTTTCCCACGCACGCTCGCAGAGGTCACCGGTCGTGCGATTCCGAAGATCAGTTAAAAGGAAAACGTATGCAGGGAAAGGGAAATGCATTTTTGTGTACCAAAGGAACCCCTTTAATCTTTCATTGGCTTGGATCATACTGTCATATTCTAACATCCGAATGGCCTCGGTTAGGATAACCTCGTTTTCAGCAGCGGGCAAGGTGCTCGGGGCAGTTATGGCAGCGTGGAAAAACCCCGAATAGACCCTCAGTTTGCATATATTAGCCCGCGTCATGAGAAGTGTCAAATAATGAATAGGTATTTTTGAATCACAGTATTTCAGATACGTTTCCTCCATATGATGTGCGAATTGATCGAGAAAGCTCGGCAGGCGATGATCGGCTAGATTTCGAACTGCTTGGGGATTGGCAGCAGATAGTTGAGCTTTCATCTTATCGCTACCCGGCGCTCTAGCAAACTCAAGCCGTGTCAGAGAGAATATCATTTCGGTGGCACCAGTATGAGCTGCGGGCGGATCTTTGGCATGTGGATTTAGGTCGACATCGTTAATATTGAGTGGCAACTTGCAATTGCCGCCGGTCGAAATGGCTGTGATGGTTGAACCACACAATTCTCCTATGCGCCTATCAAAGCTAGCCATGTTCCACCAAAGTCTCCTCCGCTCCTCTACTTCGAACGGTGAGAAACCGAATTCAGCGCCGTCTCGCTGCAAGCCGAGACGTTGACTTAAACGAACACCTATGCCCGTTAAACAGAATAGGGACCGAGGGTCTGTATGTTGTCTGATGCCGATCTGATACTGGTTAGGATTAGAAGAAGATCAAACACCGCGGGATAGTTCTTACACAATATAACAAGTACGCCTGTAATACTGTCAAATCTGGCATGCGCATGAACCCGGCGTTAAACAGGGCCTGCTGCGTCCCATGTTCGTATTTGGCTAGCAAGTCTGATCTTGAAGCATTGAATAAACGCATCACTTCATCCTCGGTAAGACTCGTGATTGCCATCAGATAGATAGCGAACATCAGGGCCTCCAAACTTCTGGATACCTTGGCCAGATTTGTGGAGGCTTCTATGATTAATACTTGTAAGGTGGACGTGTGCGTAAGTTTAAGGAGGGAATTGACGTTGTCTAAGTATATCTGCCATAACTGGAAAACCTGGATACCCGATGGGTGTAGGTCGGTGACACTTTGGTACTGACCGCCAACTGTAAATGGAAAGCCACTTGTGTTGGCGAACATCTGGTCGTAAGCGTAGTTAATGGTTGACCCAACATCTTCCTCTTCGGAAGAATCTATAACCGACTAGAGACGCATTAGACGGGATTGAAGGGAGGATAAAATCACATCGGCACACCTCTTTCTGGAAAGGGAACCATTTGAAGGTACTGTAGGGGACATGTTTTAGTAAGCGCAATGTCGAGACAAGTCTGTTGAAAGCCATAAGATAGCGACAAGACAGATAGGTATTCGTACTCACCGTGGTCTGTGGAGATTCTCGCCAACGGATGAGATGATGCCGGGATTGGCACCGGTAGGCGGGGCCTTGGCTTTCTGTGTAGTGAAGTGGGGATCCAACTCATCGCCCTCCTCAACAGAGCCGGGGTCAACGATCTTAATATCGGAGCCTAGGGCATCGAACTCGATACCGTTCTGAGACAACAGGGCCTCATACTTTCGGAGGCGTTCGACAATGTCACGCTCGGCAATGCGCCTTTTCCTTCGCCTCGGAGGTTGGGGTGGCACAACACGGCAATCGACGCCGGCCTTGAGGCAATTGGAACATGGCTTTTTCTTGTCGCATCGTACCTTTCGCTGCTGACAAAGAACGCAGCTATGGCCACGAGTGACCTTGACGAACGAGGAGGCAATCGGATCCGGTGGGGTATTGGCAACTGAAGCGCCGGTCGGAGTGGGTTGATTATAATAAGCCGAACTACCATCGCCGGAATGGTGGGAGTCCGGTGTAGCGGGCATTCTCAACCACTGAAAGAAGCCGAAGTACGAAGTACGTACTAGACCTACTTCGTACCTACAGTTCTTCGTACAGTTAGAGAGAGAGAGGGATGTACCTTTTTTTGGTAGGGGGTGGTTGTCGGTCCCGAGCGGGAGAAACACAGACAGACAATAAGATGAGGCCAGAGGACGGAACAAGCAAGCCCTCTTACGGATTAGACTGCGGGCCAACTCAACTAACCTACCTGGACCCAAGCAACTATGTGGGATGTACGAAGTAGTGCAGCGCTGTCGCAGTGCCTGACCAAGGTACTACTTACTTGCTTGCTTGCTGGCAAAGCAAAGCAAAGCAAAGCAGTGGGAGGGGGTCACGGGCGTGGCATGTGGGCGGTACACTAATGAGAAGCTTGGGCTTGGTATAATCTGGCCGAGGTCCTGCATTAAGTTCGATGGTAGTCATTAATGTAGGTCGTGCAAAGTGAAGATATTTCCCTATGACAACAATATTCATGAGGAAGATGGTCCTATCAAGTCCTTGCTTTTTTCATTGGGTTTACAGGAAGTACCCTTCATACGACCAGCTTGTTTGTACACTGCCTACTGCGTATGTGCGTGTGTGCGGGGGTTCTTTTTCGGGACCGAACACAGACTGGTGACCGCGTTACAGGGGCAAGTTGACTAGAGTACCTAAGGTACCTAGGTAGGTATATGTAGGGAGGTTATGCATCTATGATGGACTTGTAACTACTGAGTCTTGATACTATTACTACTTAATGAAGGTTAGCCAGGCCTAAATTATCGCTAAATTGTAAGTCATCAGCTACCTAACTACCTAGTTAGGTAAGTAGTCCGTACCTCCATACCTACACTGCGCTCGTAGCGTACGGCTACAGGAAATCTACCGAGCCGAGAAACAGATATGTAAGTACCTAAGGTAGCAAGCAAAAACCGAGAATGATGACTCAGGGCATATACACTACCTAGGTACTTCGTAGATACGAATCCGTACTGTGCCTTTAATCAGTGCTGTAGGTATGGCAATATGACTACCTACCTTAGGTACCTAAGCCATCTGCAATAGGTATCTCAGCACCTACGGATCCGTACCAGTACGGACGTACGTACGTAGGAATAAAAAAGTCTTTCAAGGCGTACGCAAAGAAATATCATCCGATAACAGTACAAAATACCTACTTCCTCTAATAATAAATTCATTACCTAACCCATCGCATTTCGCATCTTTAAAACCACCGATCTGGTTTGGTTACATGTACCGATGGCCGTGAGCCATGCTGAGAGCTGAGACTTGAAGGCAGCTATGTCGGGACAGGCTCGGGACCGAGAGCTGAGAAATATCCGACTTAACCGTATATTTAAAGCCCCACCCTATGTAACTGCATAATTTACATGATACAACTTGAAGTCAACGTATGTCCGTACTTCCTACGTACAAGTACCTTATGTAGTTAGGGGTAGTAGTCCGTAGTAATCATGATACGTACTAGGTGTACACGGAATACAAACGGATCCGTACTGCCTAGGTAGGAACTTGTTCTTATGGATACAACCTCAAACTTTCTTAGCATTGGTTTTCTTCTTTTAAAGTCGACGTTTTCGTCTTCAAGTGTTTCCTCTTCTTCCAGGTACCTAGGTACTAGGTAGTAGGTAGTAGTATTGTTCATTAATGTACCTACCAAAAGTGCTGTGCTTATACGTTCTTAGTAAGTTGCATGCATTGCATTAAACATCTTCCAAGAAACGCATACTGACATGTGACATGCATGTAGGGCAACATGTACACTACCGAATA